AAGCTCGTCCGTCCACTCGTGCTGGAAAGCCCGCTGGCATCTGCAGTGTAGATGATCCCTTACTGAGAATGCATTGCTTTGCTCTACATCCTTTAAACTAAAGCCACAGACTGCCCTCTCCACACCGTGAGTCACTGAGACCACTAACTAGCTGGACTTTAGTATCACACTCCATTTTCAGGAGCAGACCAACATAACAAATGGACTTTGAAAACAAAATCACTCTGTCAGCAATAGACTGTAGTATCAGCGTTGCTTCTGATGAGTCATTTGGAGAGATGGGCGATACGATATTACTAAACTTAGCTTGGACTGGCTGTTTTCTGGTTTGGTCACCCCTTTTGCATCAAGAGGAAAGCTTGTGAAGTTCTAAAAACCTCAATATACACAAAGAGCACTAAAACCCAACACGCCTCATCAGCCCAGAGTTTGCAGGGCACATTATGACCTTATGGGACAACCCCACTGCATCTTTTGAAACTGCTCAAAAAAGCTTTTTGGTTTTTTGCACTTTTGTTTTAGGGCGGGACAGTAACTGGGAGACACTAAGGTAGGAGAAGGGGATATGCACTTTTTTTTAGAAAAGAAAATGCAACTGAGCCCATTTTTGTTGGTTTGCCAATACAAGAGACAAACTAAAGTCTTCCAGGTGATTGTGCATTGCTGCATCATGAGCACCACTTTGGGTTCCTTTACAGACTACATTTTTATTGAATCACACAAAGAAAATTCCAAGATCAAAGAACAAATCAGCTCCGTAACCTTCAGTCTTCCGACTCAGATCTTTTCCAAGTAGGCAGATACTCATGTGCAAGTTAGAAAATTCATGGCAACCAGATATCATTTCTTTCTACTTGGAATACACTAAATATTTTGTTTTCTAAATAATTTATGTTCAATGGACTCCTAATTAATGCTCGGTACTTTATTGGCACGCAATACTGTTCCAACAACAGCCCTACGAAAGGTTTCTGATAGCACACTAAGGCAGCCTTCTTTCGCAAAAGCTTATGCAAATGAAACGCGGAGTAGAATATCACCATACTTCATTTGCATCATTAATTAGCAGCCATTTTTGTGCAAGAGGCTTTTGCGCAAAAAGGAGCTGTATAAACAGCTCCTTTTTGAGCAAGAACCCCCTCTTGCACAAGAGCCGTTCTTCCTCATTTTTTCAGGAAGAATGGTTCTTGTGCAAGAGAGTTTTGCGCAAAAAGGAGCCATCTACAGAGATCCTTTTTGCACAAAAGCCTCTTGTGCAAAAACAGCTGCTAATTAATTATGCAAATGAAGCATGGCAATATTCTACTCTGTGCTTCATTTGCATAAGCTTTGGTAGAAGAAGGCTGCAGTATAGACATAGCCTGGAAGCATAAAAAACCTTAAATGGTTATACCCTTCCCAACATCTCTTGGTTTATTTCAAATTCTAAGACATCAGTTTTATTCAAGGAATTATGGTAGGAATAGGCAACATGTTAGAATTAAGTATGCACAGAAAAAGACAGGAAGAGGACCATAGAGGAGAGCCATATAAGGAGGCACATGTTCTTGTATTAGAGAACCCTTATGAATAGTGGGTAACTCTATTACTAAATTTCCCCTTGATCATGAACACAAACCTAGAACTACATTTGTAACAAGAATTGGCACCACAGTATGTCTAGGCACTATGGATTTGGATTCTTTTGCACATGCATCATCCAAATGATGTGTAACATCAGTTCTGACTACCCCCAAACTTTCGGAAGCGCTGATCTAAACAGCACGGATGATTCCAATTCCATAATGAACCGAGCCAAGACTGATGCACACACTGAAAGTCATCACACCAGCTTTAACCAACCACAACATTTTGGATATTTGGATCCAGATGCAAATTTTACAGTTAGGACTGACATGTTGTTCTATTGACATGAGAAGTGTGCAAAAATGCCTTTAAATGCCTAGCTCCTGATGGGTGTTCCCTTTCCGCTGAGTGCTTGGGTGGCTGCCCAGGAGAGATTCAGGTGATTCTGAATAGCAGCGCGCCCACAGCTGGCCACAGCCAGTAGCATGTGTTTCTCCTGGTGGTACACTTCCACTCATGCCTTGGCAGACAACAATTTATTCCGTCCATGGATGGAAAAAATTAGAGGGAACACTGCTCCGGATGCCAAATATCAATTCTTCCTGTTTCCAGAGGGGCAGGCACACGTAGAAAGTGCAATATCATGGGTGGTTGGTGCAGCTAGGGCTGGGAGAGGCAGGCTCCCAGCCCCACCTACAGTCCCACCCCTTCTGTTGAGGCCCCGCCCCCACCACAGGGAGGGAAGAAGGCAGGGCAGCACACTGAGCGCACGTATCCCCCACCACCGTGGGGAGGAGAAGAAAGGGGAGGCTACCAGATGCCTGTGAGCAATATTTTCAAACGTGTATGGCTAGAGTAAAGGAGGAGGGGTGAGGAAAAAGAACTGCCTTTACTTTATTCTAGGGCAAGTACTTTCTTACATAGCTTCTCCACATTCAAGTTTGTTACCATGACTCACTATTTCTGGGCTAACATCACTGGAATTAACAGATACATCTATATCCTTTGCTCTCAGGAGTATTCATAAGCTCAAAAGGAGTATGCCATAGTCTAATCAGATGCTTGCACCTTGAGCTTTCATGAACCTACAACACATCTTTCTTCCACCCAGTAATGTAGAAAAATTAGCATGCAGATAGCCAGAAATACTCCTCCATTTAACCAGGAGGTACCAGTAATCAGCAAGTTTGATACCACCTCCATGCACCCATCACACCCTAAAGTGTGCTGGTCTAGAGACCCCAATGTAGTCAATTGTTTCTTTCACTTCTCAGTGTAATTGTTGGTGCCATGTCTGCATTCTAAAATGCCTCAGTGCGTTGATTTTTTTATTTAAAGAAGTTTGATTCCTTTCATTCATCCTACCCAAGGGGCTACACTTCTGTGCTCATTAACATTTAATTTGCTAGCTGCAGTGAGTAAGCAAAGACAAAAATCGGAGGGCCTGGTCAGGCAAATTTTTGAAGTGTCATACTTTAAAGACTGTAAAACCCTCTCTGATCTCTGGCCTGCGCTAGAGAGTTACTTTGGTGTAACCATGTTTCTTGGGATTGTGAATAATCCACACCCCTGAGCAACACAGTTATACTTGTCTATGTGCTACTGTAGACAGGGCTGTGTCAGCGGGAGACGGAGGTGGAATAACTGAGCCAAAGGGAGATGCTCTCTCCTGTTGGCTTATGGAGTCTTTGTTAAAGTGTAGCAGCTGCATTGACGCACCATTTTATATGAAGATCTGCCCTCAGACTCAAGTGGCTCAGGGAAAGAATTTCACAGAATAACTACCCACAGCCTCTTTACACTTACTCAGTCATAGCCAGTCTGAGAGCTCTGCCTTAACAAGCTATGCAGTACTCCTGCAGTTTCAGAGAGGCACAAGCAAAACTCAGAGTATCTTGCCTTTCGGATGTAACAGTGGGATCAGCAGCAGCACAGTTAAAAACTTCTGCAGAAAGAGAGAAGAAAAACAAAGCATGTACTGAAAAAAAATATTGACTTGCTCACCTCAGATTTCTAGTCTGAAGTCTTATTTTCATGAACTTGTACACAGACAGGTAAGATTTCTAAAACTCAGAGCTGGAATCTCTGAAGGCAAAAAGTTCGGCAGAAAAGCTATTTTCCATCTCTCGCTCAATATACTGAATACAGGTTGTACCTCCCAAAACTGGCATTCTCTGGTCAGGCAACATCTGTGATCCTGCCGGACCACAGATGCTCCCGGACCAGAGAGCATGGGAGCCTGAGTGTAGGATAGCCAGCTGAGTTGGGGCAACAGGGTCTGCAGCCCGACTGGGGGCAGCGCCGGACGGGTGCTGAAGCCCTGCAGCAGCCTCCAGCAGCATGTGGGAGTGCGGGGGTCAGACCGGAGCCCTGCTGCAACCCCCAGGAGAGCAGGGCTGGAGCCCCACAGCAGCCTCTTGTAGTCCCCAAGAGCGTGGGCCAGGGCTGGAGCTCCGCGGCTTCCCCCAGCTATGCAGACTGAGGCTCGGCCTTTTGGTGGCCTGATGGATAAGCCTCCGGAGCCTGGGAGCTGCACAACAGGAGCCAGAACTTGTGTGGCCCAGCCAGCCAGAAGCAGCTAGGCAAGCAGATCAGCTAGGTTGAGGGGGGAGGGAGAGGCAGGGCTGCCTGCTGGGGGCAGTGGCAGGAGACCTCCCCTGGTCCGGCAAATTTTCTCATTCAGAACCAGTCAGGTCCAACCTGTATCAAACCCTGAGAGTGCATTTTTTGTTGTTTGTTTTTAAACAGCGACAGTCATGGAAAATAAGTTATTTATTCAAAGAACAGACAGTGCAGTGCAGGGAAATATATATACTACTATTCCAAACATGCCTTACCCCTATAACAGCGAGATAATTTAGGCTCCATGGCTCTTTAAACTTTGTCTCTCTGCCAGGACTGTTAGTAGCCTATTGTGCTGGTGAATGGGGATTCTGTGATGTGAGCACCCAAGAGTCACCTTGTGGTAGCAAGTTTCCATCACTCTTATGCTAAGCTAGAGTCTAGCTTGGAGGCTGAAGGCATCAGATTTCTTTATTGAATCTCCAGGTAGCCATTCAGTTCCAAACCCTTTTACTACATTACTTCACCACACAAAAAAAAATTCTTGGCCAGAAAGGTAGTAACAGCCAAACAAAATACACCCTGGTCAATTCATAGTTATGCTATATGGATGCAGGTATATGTAATGCATACAGAGCTATGACGTAACCTAGAACCTTCAGTACAGGATGAATATAAACAAATTCTCCAAAACTACAAGTAAAATCTGATGAAAAATTATCTAAGACAAAGGGGCAACCAATAAAAGGTTCTGTAATTACACTTAGTAGAAGACAAAGTTTTGGCCTCTGATGCTGGTGTACACCTGCTGTTGAATGTGATCCCAAGTATTAGAACTTGTCAGCACTTGGAA